TTGTGTAAAAACATCATGTTTATGATAAAAATAATATTTTGTTCTAGTTTTTAGAACAGCACAATTAGTGAAATTAGTCCCACAGCTATGAAGATCTCTTTTTGCAAGTTTTTTTTACAATAAAAATAAAAATCTATCTTTTGCAAACTACCATGGTGACCTCTCCTGGTAGAAAAATATATAACCTCTAACCATAGAAAACTTAATCAGATTAATCCTCAAAGGAGGAAATACATCTGGCCCACTTTATAGTTTTGTTTTTATATCCTTAAAGATCTAGATGCCATTTACAAATCAAAACTGACACACAAACTACTAGATATCAAGAAAACATTACAGCCTCCTGCTGTATAAGCAAAAGCCTAATCAAGAGGCTTTGGTGACTTTTTAAAAATAATTTTGAAATAGAATCATCATAGAATCAGATAAAATTATTACCATATCTATTAGGGAATTAAAACATGCAATAAAAAGGAAGGATAAAATGTGACACGAAGAAGAAGGGATGAAAAAAATAGATGGACATAAGCATACTTTACTGAAAACATAGTATTTCTGGTATAATTTTTTTAAATTAAAAAAATAATTTCCATGGAAACTTTATGTAAAAATACTCCTAAACATGTTTAGCTCCTGTGGGGCAGGTGATTCTCCCCCTCTTTTCCACTCTCATGAAACCCCACCTGGAGTCCTGCTGTGTCCAGCTCTGGGGCCCTGAGCGTAGCAAGGGAAGAGACCTGGTGGAGTGAGTCCAGAGGAGGGACACAAAGGTGATCAGAGGACTGGAGCACCTCTGCTGTGAGGAAAGGCTGAAAAAGTTAGGGCTGTTCACCCTGGAAAAGAGAAGACTGTGTGGAGACCTCATGGCAGCCTTTCAGTATCTGATGGGAAGCCAGAGAGGGACTCTTCATCAGGAACTTTAGTGACAGGACAAGGGGGAATGGCTACAAATTGAGAGTAGGCTTAGATTGGATATTAAGAAGAAATTCTTTCCTGTGAGGATGGTGAGGCCCTGGCACAGGTTGCCCAGAGAAGCTGTGGCTGCCCCATCTCTGGAAGTGTCCAGTGCCAGATTGGATGGGGCTTGGAGCAACCTGGGATAGTGGGAGGTGTCCCTGCCCATGGCAGGAGGGTTAGAATGGGATGAGCTTTAAGGTCCCTTTCAACCCAAACCCTTCCATGATTCTATGACTTCAAGGTTTGCCTATGGTCATTCAAAAACTCTCTGCTAATACATCAGCAACTCTCTGAGAATAGCTCAAGACATTTTATGCTTTGAACAGCCACCCAACAATACTAAATATGAAAATTTGTAAAGCTGTTGTGTAAAAGAAAGTAGAGTTTATCCCTCGGGAAGCCAACATGTCCATGCAAGTTTGGTGACCTCCCAGAGAAGAAAGTGGCTGAAGCAGCATAACACTGCAGTGTTAAATCTTAAAAAAATATTTTAGAGACCATTCATAGAACAAGGAGTGTAAAAGGAAGACTTACATACAAGTTACAAATATTAAAAGTCAAAAAGAACAGTTAAGCAAGCCAAATTATTATACTGAAAGACATCATAAGCAATCAGCATGGATTTGATCGATCAGTTCAACTCACAGGGAAAATTTCAACAAGTGAAAGCAAAAAAGTAAAATGGTTAGAACTCTGGGAGATATGCTCAATGGAAACAGAGTTGATCTATGACAGGGATCCAAGGTAATGTTAAAAGTGCATATATTTATTTTAAGAACAAGTAGATAAAACCCAACTTTAGTATTTAAAGACTACTTTTTCCTTTTCAAATTATTTATTGCCAAATCATCTCTAAATTTATCAGTGAAGAGCTGAAGTATGAAATTACTTTGAGCAGGCAGGGTTTCTAGTTAATTCTTAATTTCTCAGAATATGCATTTCGACAGAATTTTATGTTACAAAAAGACAACAAACAAGCAACAGGTAAAGACAAAAAGAAAACTGTCAGGTTTTTTCCTTCTTCAAGATGAACACTGTTCAAGAGCCAAGTTCCTGTCAGAAAAGCACAGGCAGATGCAGCTCTGCAGATCAGGCAGGAATGGCAAACTCATCCTGCATTCAGTCACATGGAATTTAAGGAGCACTTATGAAAACCTTTGGGCAGGAAGCAGATAAACACAAAGGAGTCAATTCTATCAAAGACAGTGAACGGTGTTGGCTCAAGATGGAGTGTAGGAAATCCCACAATCATTGTCCTTGACTTCTGTTTGGAAAGAGTTATTAAAAAGGCAAGTCAACTCTGTCAAATATCTCCATCTGCACCAAAAGTTCATGAAGACTAATTAAATAGGGAGAAAAAAAGACTGCTAAACACTGTCTTGGAGGGCCTCCTCACTATGATATTGTCTCCCTGGTATATTCCCATAGCTTGTCTGAATGATGATAGGCTTCACACTGACAAGAAGTTACCTTAGAGCACCCAGATGACTTAAGAACATTAACATAATTAAGTCTTTGAAACACAAAGACTTTAGTGGCTTAGGACTCATCTATAGCCACATCTGTTACTAATGTCCCATATCTACTCCAGTGACACATAGTATGCAAAATTGTATTTGTCACACCATCTCACCCACTCCAAGAAAATACAAAAAACATTTGAATGTCTTCAAGTAGTGAATGCTATCCTTCTTGTCAGGCCCTACCAACTTTCAACACGACACTTTTGAAGCTGATCCTTCCCAAGTGTTAATCTGCCTCAATATAATGGAATTGGAGTTTTTTCACAAGTGGGAAAATAATACAAGCACCACATACTAGTATTTATTTGCTCCTGACACACTACCAGGGCTATATAAAGAATTGCAGGGTCCTTCAACCAGGATAGAAACAAATCAATTTAGTCTTGAACTTGATCCAATAGATGCTTTGGCCCAATTTTCTTTCTCACTATACTGGCAGACTCCACTGTTCTCACTTTCAAGAGAGAAGAGTGGCATAGAAGACAGGATACATAGGGATGTGTTTTCACATTTTGGTGAGAGAAACTCTGGTTATATGAACAGTCAGCTAGATCAGAGTAATGATCTAGTAAAGGGCACAAAAATGTCCACCTTTCTGTCAAGTGACCTCTCTCCTGGGTAAAATGGGAGACCCAGTTTGAAACTCCTTCAGGTAAAGGTGGGGAGAAGTGTCCCAAGCAGGAGTCTAACCATTTAGCAACAAGAAACCTCACAACTCTGTGAAAAAGAACTCATTTATTTCAAACCAAACTAAGTTTTAAAGACAAATGCTTTCTAGACAAGTGAATCTACAGTAGCCAGCAGAACAGCCAACCTCCACGCTGGTCATTTCTAGGGAGGAAACTAAGGGAAGAGCAGGAGGAAAATAAACTCCAGAGAAGTATCCTCCAGGCTGGTGGAAGAAATTGTTCCAGTGCTGCCACTGGCTATGCACAATGCACTTGTCAGGTGATAACATCACTTAAAAATAGCTGGCAATGCTATGTGGGCACTGTGTGAGCCACACATCTGTCTTCATCTGGTTATTTTTTGTCCAGCAATATGTGCCTGCACATGCACATTCCATCTGCACGGAACCCATCGGCGCAGCACTGAACCCTTGCCAGGACTGCTGTCTCGGGTGGTGGTTGTGCTGACCTGCCATCATGACATCTCAGTGAGTGTAAGAACATCACAGAATACTGCACTTTGTTTGACACTGAGTGTGGCTTAAAGGCCAAGCAACATTTGTTACAGGATCAACATTAATCGAAATCTCAAAATAATCCAGGGATCCTAATGATGGCTCAGTCAGTCGCACGCAAAAGCTGCATATGCTAATGTAGTCTAAGCCATAGAAAACAAATAAATAACTGTTCTTTATTTTCAAAGCAGATGGAAAACCAAATTCCAAAACACATTAAAAGTCACCACTTAGCAAAAAAACCTGCAATGAGAATACTGAGATTATCACACGCCGAGATCAAAGGATTTGAGTGGCTAAAATATTGATATCGTGAGCAACTGTTTAAAAGTGATTTCTTCCATTTTTATCAAGGATGTTTCATCTCCATTTCTAACTCAAATATGAAGAAGGGCAGGGGGGAGGAGAGGAGGAACATTGTCTAGAGTCTAGTCTAGTTAATTGTACTTTTATTTCCCACGTCCTTCAAATTAACACTTAAAAACATTGTATGGTATTGTTTCCACTAAGTATTGTTTATAGATAGCTGCTGGATGTGTTTTCATGCTTTTTAAGAGATGTAATAGCTCAGGGCTCAGTTACATTTCATCTGTAAATCAGCCACACAATCAATTGAGAAAAAAACTATTCCCTGGCTACTGTGAAAAGAAGCAACAACCTTTCTATACCTTCAAGTGAGGAGGTTTTTCTATCACACCACCTATTGTTTAAATAACTACTTAATATCCCACTAAGAAGAATAGGAAATTAGATAGGTAACACAATGTTTTTGGAAAATACCAAGCACAAAACTGCTCCAAAACCCAAGCTCCCAGTGGATTGGTAACAGCCACCACAGTTAACAAGCACCATCTTCAAAGCCAAATCACTGGTGCACAGAAGTGTGATAGAAGCTCTTCCTTCCTGTTCTATTGATTAGCAAACCAGGCTGACAGAAGTCACCCCCAAGATTCAGATACTTCTGGAAAGCATGGTTCTTGGACAATTTTTTACCGTAAGACTTCGAAAATATATGTTTTAAAAACCCATTCCTATAGAATATCCTGTTCCATGTTGCATGAGACTGATGAGCACCAACTGTCCACTGTAACAGCTACACCTTAGGAAAAACAAGTATATAAAAACTGCTAATCTAAAAAGTACCCTCAAAGTTAAAAGATTTAAAAAATCATCATCCCCATTAAACTATGAACTTCCTTTAATGAAATCAGGCACTATTTAAAATGCCCTGGTAACATGCTTTGCATGAGGATTTTTAACAGCTGCCTCCCTTGCTCACCCAAAGCAATCTAGATTTAGTCAAACTGAATAGTCTTTCCCAAAAAAAGTTCACTTACCATCCAGAAAAGGGTTCCAGTGGCAAATTCAGAATAATGCTCTATAGTAGACAGTACACTGAATATTAAACATATCAGCACCAAGAGAAATCTGTAAAAAGAAAATAGTGTTTAGTGACTTGTCAGGTTGAACTGTAAATCTAGATCTAGTTTTATCTTGCATTCACATAACTTTTTGCACCACAAGTACTTTGTGTTTTTTTCAGTTAATTCTTCCTAGTCGAGTACCATCATTTTGCATTCATTAACTTTTAAGAAACGTGGAATAAATAAAAAAATGTATACACACAGATATAAAGGAGTATACAAAAAGGTATAATATAGAATCCTAGAATCATTTAGGTTGGAAACAGCCTCTAAGATCATTGAGTCCAAACATCAACCTAACACTTTCACGGCCACCAGGTGCCATATCTACTTGTTTTTTGAACACTTTCAGGGATGGTGATTCCACCACATCCCTAGGCAGCCTGTTCCACTTATTACTCACTGATGCATTTTGTATGTATATATCTGTATATATAGAGAGACAGAGCTACCAACAGAGATGCAGGTTTAACCTTTGCAAAGAACTACTTGCATATGGAACACCCAGAATACGTGTTTCCTTCAGATGGAGGGCAGACTGAGCCAATATTCTTTATGCAGCACATTTAAACCATGACTAGAACCAGGAAAACTGGGGGAACACTAATTTCTGTGGGCACACAAGGGCCCTTCAGCTTTCCTTTTCCTCTTGTAGGAGTGCTGAAGAGTTTTAGACTGCCTTGGGATCCCCAGGAACACAGAACAGAGGATGATGAACACTGAAAACAATTCTCATCCCCATAACTGGCACTCTTGGTCTGGTCATTCACACACTGCAAGCAAATACAAGTACATGCTAACATAGACAATGCTGACTTGTTCAAGCCTAAAACTGGATTTGAAGTTATAAAAAAACCCAACTACTTCCATTCCTACGGCTCTGGAAGGACTCTAACACTGTTATTCAAAAGCTGAGATTTGAGAAGATCATGGCCACCATTAATTACTAGATTTCTTCAGTAGTAGTTAGAGTTCTACATGTACAACTGTCTCTGAACCAAGTTTGTGTTTCTTCAGTATTTGCCTATCCTTATCCACACTATTAACATGGATTATCCAAGTTCCTAATCAACTGACTGAGTGCTTTTTAGCAGCACCCAATGGACAATGGGGTATTTCTAGTTCTTTTTGAGTTGAAGGCAGGAGGATAGTATCTGATAGCTGGTTATGTAATTGCTCCATCTGATATCTGCTATTGTGCACTCTTGTACTTAAATGGTATAATCTGATTCATATGGAAGGATTCAAATATGTTTTGGAAAACATTCTTTTCTTGTGCACTCGAGGCTCTAAAAGGCTTATTTGTATGATAATTCATGTTTGAATTTAATTGTAGTTAATATTAAAAGGTATAAGAGATATAAGACACAAATACAGAATTTATAAAACAGTAGTAAACATAAGTGTACTGTTATCAAGTATTTGTAACTGCAAAGCTGAAGGAATATTTATGGCAATCTAGGATCTATGTATTTAAACCCCAGCCAGAGAGGCATATTCAGCATATGACCCTTTTTAATAAAATTTGAGAATCAGTCATTACCTGAAGCAAAACTATACATTTTAGCAGACTAAAGAGTTCGAATGAGTCTTTAGTTCAACAGTGTGAAGCTGAGTTAGCCCTTTATATTTAGTGTTTCCCAAGGCACTCGAGCATGGCCAGCAGGCTGAGTAAGTCAGCTCAGTGAGGCTGTGCTGGGAGGGCTGGGACAGGCAGGGACACTGGGGAGTGACTCTGGCAGAGAGTCCCCAGGATGGGGCCAGGTCTGGAGCACAGGGCCTGGATGGGAAGGCCAACAGCACTGCCCATGATGCAGGAGCAGCCTTTCTCTCTGCCAAGGAAAATGACCCACAGGAGCGGTCCCAAGGAGAGCAGCCCTCAGCCAATTGCCCCCTGCCCTTCCACAGTGGGGCAACTTCCACTCCACAACCTCAATTTGGGGAAAACCAGGCATGTCCCCCCTCTCAGGGTGTGGACCAAGCCATGAAAGCATAACAGGTTCCTGGTGTCACCAGTAATCTCAGTGAAGGCACTTCCAGGCTGTTCCAAGAACTCCAGCAGTGGTGGGAGACTGCCACAAGAATTTCCGTGTCCCTTCCTGCTCAGTAGGGGTTTCTGGCAGCTACAGTCAGATGGGTGATAGTTGGAGAGGAGAAAGGGGACACACAGGAGGAGGAGCAGGGTGGGGTGAGCTACAAAGCACAAACAAGCCGATCTGTTCCGAGCTGCAGCAGCCCTGCAGCCCATCCCAGACAACCCATCCCCATACAAGATGATGGTTTCGGATGCTCTGGAGGGTTAGCCACTGCCATAATGTGTCACCATGGCTGAGGTCCCTCCAAGCAAAAGGAAGCAATGGTTGACCCTGCAAGGCAGCCATCCCCTCTCCCCACCAGCTTGGGCTCAGCTCCCTCAGGAAGCCCACCTTGCCTCAGTCAGTATCTACCTGTAAGGCTGAGCATGCTGGGCTCTTGTCCACTGCCAGAACTGGGACAGGGGTGTCACCTGGCCTCAGTCAGTATCTACCTGTAAGGCTGAGCATGCTGGGCTCTTGTCCACTGCCAGAACTGGGACAGGGGTGTCACCTGGATGACAGCTATTACTCTTACTTCTCTTGCATCAGATGCTGTTCAGGAATGATAAAGCACCCAGCAGAAGCTTTGTACATTCATTAGAAACCATGATCATCTCACCTGAGTTTTCTTCCCCTCCACCTCTAGCTACTTTCTCCATTTCTCTCCATCACACAGTTCAATTTCTTAAGGGTTCTCTACCTTCATAGGTTTCTGACACCTATTTGCACTTTAAAAAGTTCTCTACCAATTATTTACTGTTACAGTATAATTACTGTGTAGTTACTGAAGAATTAGTCAAGGTACTCATACTTTATTGATACATCGATTTCTTCATTAATGGCAAATATCCAGGGCTGAAATGTCTTTAGAAAAAATAAGGCTGAACGAGGAAAGAGATCCAGGTAATACAACTTAGTCAAGTTCTTTTAGCACGGGGTAGATCTCAGCCCTGTTCTCAAGATTTACTAGTTACAATGCTCATCACCCAATCCTGCTGCTTTGTTCATGTCAACATACACAAGTTGTCAAGCATATTATTCACGAGGTTTACTTCCATTCCAAATGTTTATCTGTTTGAAAATGGTGGTATGTTATAGGGGGCACAGATATCTATCACAAAAAAACCTAACTTTGCCTCAATGAGCTGCTACACTGACCAAAGATAAGCCAGCCAGCAGAGGGGGCAGAAGTCCAACATTACTAGAGAGTGATACTTTAAAAAATGAAAAACAGAGCAAAGTTTTCAGGACAGACACTGAAACACAAGCCAGTCTTTGTCAAACGAAAAAGAGCAAGTTGGTAAGGAGCTTACAGAATAAGGGTGTTGCCAGCATCCAACACCAGAATAGTCTAGGCATGGGAATATGCAAAACTTTAGCTTTTCCTTAACACAGTAGGACTGTTTTCCATGTAAAGTAAATGAAGATATAAAAGTAAGGTAAAGCAGGGTCATAAGAGTCTCTTTTTCTTTATACATTTAATGAGATCAGTACATTAGTACACAGAAGCCCTTGCAGGCACTGAGTACCCCACTCTGTTGGATGCTGTGCTCCATCAGCTCTTTATCCAAACATCTTTTACTTCCAATTAGCAATCCCGGTGATGGGTAAATGGAGAATGACACAAAATGGTGAACAGACTTATCCACACATCAGGGCAGTGCTAAAAGCACACAGAACTTGGCTCTCTTTCAGTTCAGACCACGCTTCAGTCAATAGTCAAACAACACAGAAACCTGTCTGGTCCCTGAAATCAGCATATCAAACAACTCAAGCAAAAATGGACCAAGACTTCTTGAAACTAGTCAGTCTGTTGCTTCTCATCTTTTTTTATGAAATTTTTGTTCTATTCCTGCCATTACTGCAGATCTTATTTCTAGGCAAAATGCATGTACAAAGGTATGGTAACTCCCTCTGAGTACAGCCCTTTCATTTCTTCCAGATCCCTGCCATTTCAGTTACCTCCTTTCAAAATACCTTTGTCTTCTTTTACTGCCCTCACTAGTAATAAATAAAAATCCAAGGGTTATTCCCATTCTAATTATTGTCTATCAAGATACTGAGAATGACAGTGCACTTTACACCTTTTCCACTCTAAGATAAGCAAAGAGAAGAACTGGATATCCCTACATACCCTGAAGATACTATCACTACATCTTCAATGACATTTCCTATTAGGCCTCAGGAAAAGTAACAAAATTTGTAAACATAAAAAAAAAAAAAAAAAAAAAAAGAGAGGTTTACAAAAAATTTGAGAAAAAAATGTCGCAAAGTGCCAAGATGTAGGTGCATAAGGATGTGTAAGGGAGGACAACTGGTGCCACTTTTTTGCTAAGGGACCCAGAACCATGAAAATGCTGCTAATATAGCCTGCAGGTCTTGTAACTTCTTGCTAATTGTTGCTTCTCTCCAATTTTTATGTATTAAGACACTCTCTCCTTTTCCATTTCCAAAACACACATTAAAACCATTCAAAAGACCTTTTAAATTCACTTATTTTACAGCACTATATCTTCTGGCCAGTGAGTGTCACTCCTTCCCAACAAATAACAAAGGCAGATCACATGAACAGAGTAAGTTGCAGTGGGGACAAAGTCAATCACAGATTAATCACAGATTAATCAAAAACAGCAACAACAACAGAAGAACCAAACCAAATCAAACCAAACCACATAATAAACAAACAAATAAACAATGTAAAAAGACTCCCCACGAGAACATAAAGAAAACAAGCTCAGTTCAAAGGCAGTTCACCTAGTCAACCAGTAAACCATGAACTGATAGTGAAGATGTTGTCCCAGTAATCTGTAATCACAGAAAAGCTCTGGCATAAAAACTGTAGGTTTAGAAAAGAAGACTGCAATAATTTGTATGGAAATAGAGACATATGCTGCAGATACTGTTTTGTTGCACAGCTCAGCAAAGAACT